AATATAGGCTAATAGAAGCTATAATAACCAGTTCTAAGTAAGTAAAAACTTATATTACAAGAATTTATGTATGATATAAGGAAAGAAGCAAAAGTGTTAGTATAATGTAGTCAAACTAAGTAAGGTCAAACAAACTATTACAATTCATATCAGCTAATAGTAAAGATGCATATATCCTTAACTCAAACTAGCCTATGCAAGCATGCAATTTGAATAGTTCAATTTAAGGTTGCTGGACGAAATCAAGAGTTTAGACAGACGTTTAAATGGTAAAAGTAAAACTTGGTTAAATTATATTAAAACCTTATTAAAAAATCTGCGAAATTTGGAAAAAGGTAAAACTATATCAAAGCTTATAAAAATGGCGAAACTATATCAAACACTTAGTAAAAATTTAGCAAAACTATAGGTTTTACCATTTTGCCAAATCCAAAATGAGTTTAGACAAGCAACCTTAGTTCAACCTCTCAGATCTAAAACTATTCCTATGCTTACTCATCTTAACTTAAACTCTTTTACTTCTAAGTTTTCTATAATATTTTGAAGCTCTATAATGTCTAATAAACTATTTCTTATTGTCAGTATGAGTCATAATAAAAATTTTAAGAATTTAATAATTTTGGTAGTAAAAAAAATTTTAATAAGAAAAGAAGAAATTCAAAAGATAATTTTTATATTTGAAAAATTACTATGAAAAAATTTTAAAAGTCATGGAAAAATTTTCTTCTGCAGAAATAAACAAAAGACTATCAATATCTATTGGTTGATAATGATTATCAAACAAGAAATTTGTAGAATATGGATCAATAAACATGATCAAAATAGAAGAAAGTATAATAAATCTTTAGAATTATCACAAATATAGGACTTTTTTACATGATATGTTTAACATTTATGTAATAAATAGATCATAAAATAATTTATTATATTTATTTATTTTTTCATTTTATTATAATTATTTTAATTATTTTTACATTTGAAAAACATTTTATAATATTTTTGCATTAATTAAAATATATCTTTATTTAATATTAAAAAAAATTAATTAAATAATTTAAAAAAACTTTCAGTAAGATTTATAAAGAATAGAAAATTAGCATTTGAAAATAAAAAATAAAAAAATTTAAAGTCAAATTTATATACCTTCTTTTGGAAAAATAGATAATTCTCAAGTGAATAAAAAGAAGGATAATCAGCTAGAAGGTTATTGATTTTCTTCAATATTTTCTCAAATTTAGAATTAACTTGATTTTGAATCTAAAAAAAAGTTTGAGTGAATAGATGATTTGATAGAAAACTAGTTAGATATAAAAATTAAGTATGTTTAAAGTTATTTGAGTTACTACTAATATGCAAAATTAAATTGAAAATATATGTTACACCACAATATACCACTCATACTATGTGAAAATACACATCAAGTGGTAAATGTATCGCTCATAAATATTGGAATCACATATTACTATAAAGTAAATTAGATATCTATTAGAATAGGTATACCTCTTTTTACGATACCTTATTCTACTTTGTAATTTTCTCCTTTGATAGATATTTTTAGACTAGCATGAATTAACACATATTATTTTTTTATTAAAGTTTAGAAAATTTTGGATTCTAAGAAAACGGAATATTTAAAGGATCTTGAATCAACAGTATATTTGTGAGAAAATTTTTGTGTTTCGGAAGTGAACATAAGAAAAACAAATCTTTTTCATCAATAGAAAGAAAATTTTCTTTAACTAGAAATATCTTATCATCAAATATGCATTATGTTAGTGAAATTGGATTTAACAAAACTATCATCAATTAAGCGAGTTATTGTCTAATTTCAAAAAATGAAAATATTAAATTAGGTTGAATTACTACTTAAATTGCCAAAACACTGATAGTTTGAGATATAGTTATATTGCAAAATCGTGATTTATGGAGTGGCAAATTAGAAAATTCTACATGTTAGCATTTCATTATAGTAAGTAAATCTTTTTGTCTAAAATTTATCACTTTCTGTTTTTTATACGGCTTATAACATTTCAGATAAGTAACGAAACTATGAAAATGATCTTTTAATCCAAGTTCTTTTCTTATTAAGTACATTAAATCTGGAAAGTCTCTAAAATCATTTTTACCAATTTCTGTTAAGACTAATTTTATAAATTTTATCAAAGCCACAGTTGCTATTTTCATTATATTGAATCTTATCTGAAATGTCATAATCTAGAGTAAAATCCACAAAAATCAGCTATCAATCATTGATTCTAGATCTGATAGGTCTTAAAATAGCTCATAATCAGATGATGCATAATTCTCAAATGTTTTGTAATCTTCATTATCACCTGATACTCCATCATCTGATTCATTTCTATTACTATTATTACCCGAAATATTGTCTTCTTCAGTGAAGATTTAGAAGATTCATCAACATTTTATTCAGAATTGTCATCAAGAGAATTTATATATTTTGGGCGATTTTTGTACCTATTTATACGTTTTCGAGATACAAATGTGGAATCAGAATTCTTTTGATATTTATCATCTTCTAATTTATGTTCAATGATTCATCTAGTCATTGTTGAAAACTCTCCTATTTCTTCCTGAATTTTGAGTTAATGGAATACATCCGAAATTGAGTTTTGTGAATATCGATATCTTGTTATTACATTATGTGATAATGATATTCTAGAAGTTGAAGTTATTTCTTCATCAATTAAACTAGTAATCGATCTGTTTCTTCTATAAGAAGTCGCATTATATATAAAATTTTAGTTTATATTATTATGTAGGATTTTCCAATCAGAATTAATTAACTTGAATAAAATCATTTTTATGATATTTTTATATGTAAAAAATATAGGATTTTCCAATCAGAACTAATTAATTTAAATAAAATCATTTTTATAATGTTTTTATATGTGAAAAATGATCAGCAAAAGATTAGTAAAATGATTTGCAAAATATGATACATTTAATTAAGTATGACTGCTATGCTTAATGAATTAGACTTCCATAATAATTATAGAAATATTATAGAAATATAGAGGTGTTTTTGAATATTAATCAAATTATTGAATTTTGTAACTAGAAGTTTTAATGAAAAAATTATATCTATAATGAATTAGAATTTGAATAATTAATATTAAAGAAGCAGCATAAGTTTATAATTTATTTTATTAACAATCAGATAATTCTAATTTAATTGTGAAGATTTAAAAAATTTTGACTTTCAATTATATTTGCTAAAAAATAAGAAAGTTCTTTTTTAGCATTACTATTAAAAAATAACAAATTTTTGCAACTGATTCCAAATTTTTAACAGTTAATTGAAGCTGTTTATTATTTGTTAATCAACTATGCAAAGAAAAATTTATTTTACAAAATTAATTCTTGAAGATAATATGGTTCAAGTTCAATTATTTTCCACTATCTAAATGAAATATTATATTCAGTTTTATATAAATTATTATATAGATTTTGAAAGGTTATATATAAATGAAGTTGTGAAGTTAAAATATAACCACTTGCAATATCATTACCAATTTTTTGTCATATATTACCTGCAGTTTTAACAATAGATTTAAATTAATCATTTTGTAATCTCAAACTTAATATAGTAAAAATATATAAAAAACTAATAATTAATAAATAATACTTATCTTTGAAATTTGGCATTAAAAAATGACAAAGTAAATACAAATCATTATCAAATTAATCAAATTGAATATTTAAAGTTCAATACAATATGAATGAAATTGTATATATTAATGAGATGATAATTTTAATTGCTATTAAAATTTTAACAAAACTCACAAAATAATCTTTAAGTGTTATATTACATTCTTCTAATATTAATACTGCTTTTTTTCATAAAAAAATAATAAAATAAAGAACTTTTAAATAAACAAAAAAATTCATAATAGTTAATAATATGAATAACATGTTCATGAGTTATTAAATCTTGATAATTTTGAATTATCTATAAATAAAGTTAGTAAATTAGTTAATTATTAATTAATTTTAATTAAAATAATAAAAACTCAAATATAATTTTTTAATACTAACTCTAAATGTAATATACTTTTAACATATTTATAAAGAGTTATTTATCAAGTTTTACATATGAATTGAAACTACCACTTAAAATGTAATTTTCCTAAATTAAACTTTTTACTTTTGCATCTAAAAAAAATATAAAGCGTAAGTATAATAATTAATTAAACAATAATATTAATGCTAATCAACTTGATGAGAAGTTTTAAAAAAAGTATACAATATATACAATATATTATAATGATAAATTAAATGATGAGTAAACTCAAATTTTATTATATCTTATACTACTAAATTAATTGCATGAGCAATATAACGAATACTAAAAATATGTAGATGTAAGTTTAATATTATCACCATTATCACTAACAATTGCTAATAAACTGATTAGGTTCTACTGCTTCTAAATACTTGAACTTTGATCTGCAATAAATTCTCTTGTATATGATTTATTAGAAATCAATATTATTTAATTGAGGAAAGTTGAGTTTATTGAGATTAAATAAATACATGAAGTTTAAATAAAATAATGAATTTAAAATTTTGTCAGATTTTTAATTTGTGTAATAAAATCTATTTTTCTATTGGCTACTTACTCTATAAGTGCACACCTTAAATATTTTTTACTTTTGTGTTAATATATATGTATAATTTTATATAGTTAATTATAAAAGTTTAAATCTATTATATTAAAATAATATAAACTTATATTATTGAAAATTTATTATACTGTATGTAATATATTGCATAGTACATATAATCTTTAAAATGTAATTATTAAGAATTTTATTATAATTAAAATCTGTCATAAAAAAAATATTAATAGTAATTAATTATTGATCATTTATCTTAACATTCTAGAAATACAGTATCTGAGATATAATGAACATTCTATAAAATATTATTTATTTAATGTAATAAACCAAAAATTCATTAGATAGATATTTCTTACCATTTTAATTAAGATTAAGTGTAGTGTCATCACTCCATTTATTTTGTTCCATTTGATCTGATTTTTCCAAAAACTTTACATCTACAACATATTCCTTTAAAAAAATTTCAAGAGATAATAAGCGATCATGTAATTTTTTAACGTCTGGAGAAGAAGAATCGAACTCCTTCATTGAAGAATGAGAATTGATTAATGGTAGTACTGGAATTGTTTTTTTAAATTTATTATATGTTCTATGCCTAGTTTTAGAATAAAAAGACTGAATACAACCCCAAGGACGAATCGAATCTACGCCTATTTCAAAGTAAAAAAACAATAATAAGATAAAACAAATATGAACCATCCTTTTTTAAAACATATATATATATATATATGTGTTATATGTGTATATAAATAAATAATACAATTACCAAATAAAATCGCATACAATGCTGAAGCTAGACCCCAAGCACCACCCATAAGACCAAGCACACTGAGTAACTTTTTTTTTAAAAAAAAGTGAGTTTAAAGCTATCATGTAAATTTGGCTCATTAATAATAAGTTAATCAATAAAACATACAGTTCGTGTTCTAATAAAGCGTTGTTAATAAATTTTAGTTTAATGTATTATTCATTTGTGTGAATACCAGTTTTCTAACATACCTTTGTTCAGTCTCCACTTGCATTAGGAAACTTGTTACGGTTAAATCAATTTCACTATAATATTCAGTACTTGGTTCAATAGGAAGAGGCGTGCTCTCTGTTATGTATGATCAAAAGTACAATTTTTTAAATATTTTTATAAAGGTATAGTATAAGAGGAATAATTTATGCTTGCTTACGACTTTTGGATAAAATATGAGGTAGGGTTTTATAAGATGGATTGACTCCAAGAATCCCACTATATTTTGGATCAAATTCTTTCTTTTGATTTCTCGCCAATCCTAAGTATGTTAACTAAGTAAAATAATATAAAATAAACTTGTTTTTTTTTAAAAAAACAAAAAAAAAAAAATTAATAAAAATTTACCTGATTATTGGCAATAAAGTACATATTATTTGCGAATAATTCTTTCATAAAATCATAAAATTGAAAAGATTGAGTGTAGATTTGATTATCTTGAGATTTTAAGGGATTATTTTCTAAGTATGCAATGTATATTTAAATTTAATACATTTTGTTTTTAAAGTTTAAATAGAAAAACATCTTTTAATTTACCAGAATCAACAATGTACATCATTATCAACTCATTAGATGTATTAGAATATAACTTTATTTTTATAATTTGGTCATCTTTTGGATCCTTTATAAATTTTAAATTATTCTTATTTATAAAATATCCAATATATCCAGGGTGAGGATCACTCAATTGTTGTGGTTGTGATAAAAAATCGTTACAGATTTCATCGATTCCTATATAAATAATTTAAAAATTTTTATTTCTAAAAAAAAAAAATAAAAAAAAAAATTCTCGCTTACCTTCAAAAAATAGACATTCCACCCGGAATGAAGTTTTGCTGAAAAATCCGATATCTGAAATGATCATTAGTTAATATACGATATCAATCGTTTGTTCTGTTCTGTACATACCAGCAAACGGTACTTCATTAATTTCCTCTACTGAAATCTGTATAGCTGGGACACTATTAATAATTTCTTCAATCAAAAAACTAATATAGGCTACAAGGAAAGCTAATAGTAATATCATTATACATGCTCTTACGACATGAATGAATTTGGGTTCCGTTTTTCGGCGTCGATAGAACAAATCGACATAATACATTTTTATTATTAAAAAGAAATTAGTCGATTATAAAAAAAGAAAAAAAAATTTGAATTCAAGTTTGAAACATTTTAAGTACCACATTTTCCAAAATAGCGAGTGCCCGTATTTAAAATATAATGATCTCATTTACATTGTTTACAACAGTATTTTTCGGTATGTGAATATTTGTCACTTATTATTTGTTACACGGCACGGTAATTCACGTAATATAAGATTCTAACCACGCCACAATTAAAATTATTCCTAGTTTTTCATGTGATACTTATATAAATCAACTAATTTCGTTAAAAAAATTCATTTTTGTGTAACATTTATCTTGGAAAAAAAATTCTCGCGATATTTTTCAAAGAAAAAGTTTGTTTATAATAAAAAAAGAATTGAAGAAAGTTAGATAATGAACTACAAATATCTTTATTTTATTTATTAGCATATGCTTCAAAATGGTATTTCATTTTCTTTATTAAATATTTCTGAATTTTGCGATGCTTTTTAAAAAGAAAATTAGTCTTGGATATCTCTGATCTCATGGAAATAGCTATTTTATTTTTTATTTTTAAAAAGTTATTAAATTATTTTCTAAATGTCAAGGCACGAAATAACAATTTTAGTTTGTAATTATTGAATGTTGAAAATTTATTTAAACATTTATCTTTTTTATTAGAAATAAAATCGAATAAAGCATAAAATACTACTTTGAAGCACTTGCTAACACTTAAAATGATAAATTTTGAGTATTATTATTTAACATTCATTCTTCTTTTAAACGCGAAATTTATAAAAGCAAAGTATACGAATATCAACATAAAAAACCATCACGCCAGTGGATAAATAAGTTATAGTCTTCCCTATACATCCACAATCACAATATTATTAATTTTATATTTTTAAAGAAAAAAGAGCCAAAACCTTATAAAAGTCACATTCGATTTACTTACCTTCCTTACTAATTTTGCAGCTGCTTTTTTTCGTCTCTGCGTTCTATCAGAATTTCCATGATAAGTTAATGGCGTGCACTATTGAAATCAGCAGAAGTTTTTTTTTTAAATTATCATCATTACAAATACCATCTTCATGGTGTGCTATTAAAATTGACGGATCATATAATTTATCATCATCTCAATCGTTTGCTTTCTCTTTCGAACGTTACGAAACTTACACTTATGAGACATTTCACATAGGTTTTTGCTATAGCAGGAGAAAATCTAAAAAAAAATTAATTATGAGTTATTGACAAGCTACCATATTAAAAAAAAGGGATTTCATCTTTTTTTCTTAAAAGAGGAAGATTCGGGTTAGATAAATTCTGTAATTTTTGCCGGTTTGTGATGGTCATAACCCAAATTATATGAAAGATAATCCAATCTATCAAAATTTTTTTAAATAGTTAATCGGTTGGTCATGTATTTAAAAATGGAGGCTTTAGACCATTTGCACCATTGAGGAATTGTAAATTATGTTAAATTTGTTTATTAATTAGTATAAAATAAAGTATAACTATTTGAAAAGAAAATTTACATTGGGATATTAATAAAAAATAATTATAAATAAAATTAAAGATTTAATATAGTTAAAAAAGGTTATATATGTCCTAACACATATGTGTAATTAAAAGCACATGAATTTATTTTTCTTGGCTATAAGTTTTTCAACGCGATTTTCAAGAGCAATTCTCGCTCTTTCAGAAAGTTCTTTAGCCTTTCTTTCTTCATTCAAAGCTTTTTCTATGTGTATTTTTTGAGTTTCAACTTCAGTTTTTGTTGCTTCTACTGCATCTAACGAATCTTTCAACCCACTAATATATCTAAGTAAATCCTGCTTTTGACTCAAGACAGTGTTCAATTCTTCTTTAGTAATTTGAAGAGACGTTTCGCTTTCATCAAGAGTCATTTCGAGTGTTTCGATAAGTTGTTGATTCTTTGAGTTCTCACTTTCCGACTTCGTCATTTTCTTGCTTAATGTCTGCATTTCTGCTAAGAGTTCCGCAATTTGTGATGAATTTTCTGCAGATTCCGGTCGTGAATGATATGGCATACGGAAACCTGGCATTGAAGGTCTACGAATAGGTGTTGTTGGCCGTGAAGTTGATGCATTTGGCATTGGTAATGGTAATGGGCCGATCGGGGGAGGTGGAGGTGGACGTTTCGGTGGTGGACCTGGTGGTGATTTTGCAAGACTATCAGAAATTTGATTGTTTGCGTTATTATCTTTTTCAACACTTGTATTTCTACAAGATTCATCAAGAAGTTGTTCAAGTTCTGAAATATTTTTCTGAAGACTTTTGATAAGATTATTTTGTTGAGCAATCGTATTTTCATGCTGTAATAATTTAGAAACTTCATCCTTATCGGATTTAGAAACATTGTTAGATCTTTCTGACAAATTACTTATTAAGGACGGGTTAATTTCTTTAGCTGCCTTTGCAGAAAGGTCTTTAATTTCCTCTTTCAAATGTCCATTCTCTTTCAACAGCCTTGAAATTTCTGATTCTAATTCTTTATAACCTGTAGGTTTTCGTTTCAAAATAGCTAATTCTTTCTCACGATTCATTATCTGGTCATTAAGTTCAGCAACTTGTTGTGCCATTGCATTCCCATCATTTCCGAGTGTCCATAATTGTTTCATTAGTGATTGTACTTTCTCTTCAAGTTTACCACATTCTTCAAGGAAGGTTTCATTTATATTTTCTAATTCATCTTTAACGCCTTGTAGTTCTTTAACCTTGATTTTCATTTCCATTAATGAGTCAACATCACATTTCGATAATTCGTTTTGCAAGCTCTTGTTATGATTGGTTAATACTGTAACACGAGCTTCCAATTCAACAATTTTAACGATCAAGTTATCATTTGAGTTCGAGAGTTCAACTCTTCTGATTTCAAATTCTCTGGTAGTATTAACTTTCTTGGCTCCTTTGATTGCAGTTTCTAAATCTATAATGCATTTTTGTTGCTTCTTCGAAAATTCGTCTGCATTCTCGTATTTGCTAACCGCTTCCTTGAATTCATTTGATATTGTTTCCATACTCATTTTAAGTTCCGCTAATTGCTCTGAAAGGTCTTCATTTTGCTTGATGTGCTCTAATTTTTCGGAATCGAGATGTTTATATTTTAATTCAAGCTTGGCAATTTCTTCTAAATGTCCTTTGATTTGACTTTTAGCAAGATGAAGTTTATTTGTTAAATCTTCGATTTTAGCAGCTTTGTTTGTCTCATCAAGTTTAGAAATCTCTATACGTTGATTTTCGAGATCTAGTAACTTGCTTTCTAATTTTGTCTCAGATTCATGAAGCTTTGTAAGTTCTACATTAGAAAATTCTATAACTTGTTGTAATTCATTTATATCATTATTCTTGTCTACTAATTTAGTTTCTAATTCTTTAACAAATTCAATTCTTGCGGATTCATCTGCTTTAGCTTTTTCTAATTCTGCTGTTAGATTGACGAGATTATTCTCAGTCATTGATTCTTCTTGCTGAACTCTCAATAATTCTTCAAGTTCTCTGATACGAATCGACTGTTTTTCGGTGATATCTTTAACCGATTCCACCTCAGCTGCCGAGTGACAATTTTGCAATTTGAAAGTAACTTTTGCAAGTTTTGACTCTAATTCCTCTACATTTTTCTTTACTTCAATTTCAGACGCTTTAGCTGTTTGCAAATCGAGGTAAGTTTTTTGAATCACAGTTTCTAATTCACTTATTTGGAAGTTTTGCTTTGCCAACTTATCTTCATTTTGTATCATGACATCATTTGCTTTGCCTAATTTTGATTCGATTTCTTTAATGAACTTTGATTGTTCTTCATCAGAATTCTTTGCATTTTCAAGTTGGGATTGCATATCAAGAAGTTTTTCTTCAAGACTTGAAATGGCTTCTTCGCTTATCTTTGACAATTCTTGAGCCGATACAAGTTCTCCTTCTAATATTTTTATCTTAGATTTAAGTTCATTTATGCTTTCCAAATGTTGAGATTCCCTCTCATCAAGAGATGCAGTCAGTTCATTTGAAAGTTTGATATGGTGATCCCTCTCGTTCTCGATATCCATCATTTGAGATTCAAGTTCAGTCAACATATCATTTTTAGCGACCAATTCAAGTTTTGTATTTGTTAACGCTTCTCGTAAAGAGTTTATGTTCTTATCGCCAGAATCTCCTACGAGTTTGAAAGTTTCAACTTCGACTTCTAAAACTTTTGCTCGCTTCTTCTCGTTCGCATATTGTTTTTGAGTTGTATCTAATAAACTGGTTACTTTTTCGAGTTCATGAGTTGAAGTTATATGATTCTCTTGAGTAGATATCAGTTCTTCTTTCAAGCTTTTCATCTCGGATTCAAGGAATTTCACGATTTCCTTTTGTAGGTTGAAACTTTCAGTTAGGGTCATTAATTCTTTGACAGCCGAGTCTTTGGAGTCTCGCATTTGATTAAATCGGAAATTTAATTCTTGAATTGTGTTCTTTTGTTCGTTATCCAAATTCTTTAGATATGAAATTTCTTCTTGTAAACTTCTAAAGTTCAAAAGTTGTTCTTCTGATATGGCAACTTTGTTTTGTAACTCTTGAACCTGACTACATAATACAGTTTTTGAATCCATTAACTCGTTAATCTCATCTCTCATGGAATTGATCCTCGTGTCCTCAAATTCTTTTAAAGAATTTGTGATCGTGGCAAATTCACGTTCTTGTTTTTGTTCTCGTATAAGGATATTTTTAATTTCTTCTAGCAATTGTTTTATCTGATTCAAATCGCTAGAAGTTTGATCATTTAATTTAATTTCGAGAGAATGAATTTCCTGAAGTTGATTGGATTCGTTTAATTTCAATTCTTGTATTTGTTGCTTAAGAACGTGTAATTCAGATTGATGTTCAACGTTTTTCAATTTTGTCTCTAATACTTCAATCGTTTTTATATGAGATGATTTGGACTCTTTGGCCATATTTAAATCGGTCTTTAGTTGAACTAAATATTCGTCGACTTGAACTCCTTTTTTAGAAATTCGAT